TGTTTATTTAAATGTATTGTTAGGGGGCAATTACCACTTGGTTTAAGTTTGAGAAAATGTGACGATTTGGTTTTTGTGGGTGTGTATGCCATGGTAGATAGACCAATGAGAACAGGTTGTCCAGCACATCAGCATTATTTATGGGGCTAACATGTAACGTTACTGTTTAAAAGACTTCTGTGAGCCTACCTGCAACTCAAGTCATGTCTAATTTGGAGTATACAGCAGATTTCATCATAGGTATGCCCACCTTCAAAATAATGTTGAATCAGTTCATCTATTATGAAAACTATTAAGGAATCAAATATTGAAAATAATTTATTATTCACATTTAGTTCTGTAGGATATCGTGCAGGGACAGACAGAAATATTACATAGGCTATAGACCTAACTTCAGGCCGTTAACGAGCAAAGTTACGTCTAGAGTTACTAAGTTATCAATGTAACAAAAATGGTATTGTTTCATATACATGTCAGTTTACCAATGTCAGTCTTTAAAACTGAAAGGATATTATTTTTTATTTCAAGTGGAGTTCGGCGCAACTGCAAAAGCGAATACATCTTCTAGTTCTACTGCTAAAATGAGAGTCAGGCACGATGGATCGATCAAGTACATAGACATGTGAAATGATCAAAGGTCAAAGTTAAAAATACCACTGCGCAATCGAGACAAAAAGCGGACGACGGGCGACGCACGACGGACGACGCACGACGGGCGACGCGCGACGGCAGATATGGAATTCCATACTATGCCAACAAGCATGGAACAACAGCACGCAATCCTTCTAGTCTAAGCTTCGCTAATTCCCCTATAAACTGGTTAACACGGATTCCCTAACCCTATAATCCAACACTTCTTAAATAAACGAGACTGTCTAACCACCCCCAATCTTCAAAAAGATCTGATATAATCTGCAGCGACGGCAACTGAGAACAAGCACCACACTAACTGATCGCACCAGGTACACTTGAGGTAGATCCCCAACCATCAGCGGTCGTACTTCAAGATTTAAACTCGAAACTCAAAGCACAACACAACTGCACAGAGCTGTCGTTTGCACGCTGCCATCTTGAGAAGTCCCGGCAACCTATGCAGCCAGCGCCCATACCTAAGGTAATGCACGCCTCTGATTGGTTGCCGCAGGCATGTTTAATGCATGTTTAGACGTGCCCGAATTATTAATGACTCAGACTAAACACAAGTCTGCGCAGCTACCCTGTTTCGCCACGATATGTTGAGATCATTGAACATGGAGCAGAGACAGGTTTTAATAAGATTCGTAGCTGGTGCTTAGAGAAGATTAATGGTAAAAATCCTGAGCCATTTCATGTGTTTGTGACAGGTGGAGCTGGAACTGGTAAAAGCCACTTGATAAAGTCAGTTTATTATGAAACAACAAGACTTTTTGCTGGAATGATTTATAATCCAGACAAAGTATCAGTGTTGATAGTTGCACCTACAGGAGTTGGTGTATTTTATGTCAATGGTAGCACAATTCACAGTGCTCTTTCAATTTCTACAGATGCTACATTACCGGTACCATATCAACCACTTGGCGCAGAGAAATTGAATTTACTAAGGAAGTGATTAAAATCATGCGACAAAAAGATGATGTACAGTTGCTGAATTACTGAACAGGTTGCGAGTGAAGAGTAAGAAAGAAAAGTTATCTGAAGTTAATGTCACACTATAGAAATCTCGTGAGATCGAAGAAAATTGGAATGATGCATTGCACATCTTCCCATGTAACAAGCAAGTAGATGAATACAACAGGAAAAATGCACTGATCGTGTGTCTATTCTTGCCAAGGATTTTTAAAAAGATGGAAGTAAAGGTAATGGAAACTGAAGTGTGAAAGTGGTGAAGAAATCAACATACACAAATTTTGGCAGAGTGTCTGTGGTAAGGTGTCGGTGCAAGTTAAAAAATAAATAAAATTGGGCCTTCCTTTAAATGATAAATGACAATTGGTCCTTCCTTTATGCGTATTTCAAAATACTCTTTTTTACGTCATCATGACGTCACACATTTTTCCAAATTTTGTACATTTATGTACTGCCCAACGAACCTAATACAAAAAAATATTTGTCATATTGCGTTGGTGAGATATTGCAAAAGTTTGAAAATATATTAAAAAGTTTAAAATTATAAATAAAATCGCAAGATGATGTTACGATGACGTCATCTCAAATTTCATCTAGAACACATCCCGGTCTAATAACATGCCAAGTTTCAACCCAATCCGACATACTGTAGATATAGGGCTCTAAAATAATGGACTTTGTAATGACGCAATATGACCAACGATGACGTCATCATGACGTAACTCTTCGGCATACATCTATGCAATAATGACTATGCCTATGACAACTTTGAGTGCTGTGCGAAACTTTGAGTGTTGTGCGACAAAGATTAATGGCAAAAGTGCTGCACAGAAAAAAAGTGTGCAAAGTCTATGGGCTTTTGGCCCAAAAAGAAGAAGAACCTCCCCCTAAAAATCCTGACGAACAGAAAGGCTTTTTTGCAATTTCCAAAAATAAAAAGAAGGTAAAGAATGCCTTTTTCGTACAAGTGCGAAAAAGCCCAAACAGAGAACAAAAACAATGCCTTTTTGCAAAATGCGATAAAGCCAAAACAAAAAGAAAAACAGGAACACCTTTTTCGCTAAAAATAGAGCTTACCTGTCTGTTGCCAACAGAACAGATGGCTTTTTCGCCTTTTGAAATTTGACAAATTAATATTCAACACAAACCTTATGGTATAATGATTTGATCATTTCCATATAGGTTCGAGTTTCGAACCCAATCAGACATGCACTTCAAGAGAAATAACACTTGGTAGAGTGCCCCTTTTATAATGTCACTTGACATAATTATCTGATGACGTCATCATCACATGAAGTCGATTTCCTCCCTTCACTTCCATTTCTAAATACCTGCCAAGTTTCAACCCAATCGGAAATGTACTTCAGTAGTACTTTATAAGATGCACCTTTAATGTCACGTGATTTGTCACCTAATGGCATCATCACATCAGGTCACTCTTTGCCTAAAGCACTTCCTTTGCAAAGTTTGAACCCAATTGGACATTATTTTCAAGATGTATTTTTTGCGTTGGGGAGATGTTAATTATATATAACAGGTTTCCCCCTGCTCAACGTATATTAATAAGCACTGTATGCTCAGTGCTCGTCCGAGAGCTTGCGAAAAAACCTCATAAGTTTATTTTTTTCATTTTTTTCATGCCATATTAATTTAATCCATACACAATATTCATTTTGACACAGTGACAATTAAGCGCCATAGGCTGTAAGGATTTTGACCGTCCAGTTTTACTGCACACTTTGGTTGTGCTTGTAAGGGGCGATTAATGGTAGCCAGATTAGCATTGAGAGCTCGTGACTTGTATTGTTAAAATATAATTGAGGTAGATAGTTGAGGATTTTTTTTGTTGAGGCGTTACTGTTTTCCCTTTTCATGGTAAAAGCTATGCTTTCTCCATTATTTTGGGCGAGTCCTCAGTAAAAGCAGTGCTCTCGTGCTACTGATTAGGTATGTGGGTGAGAAAATGTCGGTGGAGGTCTGTGGTGCCGAGCCAAGTCTTCAGTATGTGGAATTTTTCTCAGTAGGCCAGTGGAACCAAGCAGGAACAAAATCCTGAGCCAGTACAGGCTGTTTACTTGACGTACATTTGACAGTAAAAGGTACCAACTTGCACCCGGCCATGTAAAATCGGTCTTCCGGAGCTATGGCTACTTCTATTTACATTCCACGTCCACGTATTTGCAGCTAGAGCGGAAGTTAAGATACAAGGTTCAGAGGCAACTTAATGATGTTCAAGCTCAGCTGCCAATTCTGGCTACATCGTGGTCCGAGCGGGGCCAAGAGAGGGTACAATTTTCCTAGCAACGTAGGTTCCTATGGTTGGAACTGCACTTCGCTGATTTACAAACGACTAAAAACACACGTTACGGTCGCATGGCTACAAAGAAAATGAACACTTAGCACCAACATGACTTTTCAACCAATGATGGGTGCTTCTGCTCAAGTTGGATATTAACAGCAACTTAGTTTTGGGACTCTGTGTGGTTAGGGTTATTAGTGAGACTTAATGACACTCGTGTTTTTGGTATAGGTTACGTTACCTGTCGCAACTCATTTAGGCGCTACAATGTGGAACCAATTGTGGGAATGATTTTTTTTTCATTCAAAGAATTTCAAAATAACTACAGGGGTGCATATATTTAAATTATGAAGACAATGACGTGGCTGCACAGCTAGCTACATTCTCACTGCACAACAGGGGAACGATGCATTAGTAAAAGCTGTACACGATGCTTTTATTTAGGTAACAGCAATGAAAGTTCTGTTCGTTGATGAATCGATGCCGACTGCATTAATTTGAAACTCTTCAAAGCACACCTTGATTAACTTATACACAGTTCCTGATTCATTTGGGCTTGTAAAAGGCTTTACAAGCGGAAACAAAAATACTCTCTAAAATGGATGGGTACGATTGACTCAGAAACTGAATCATGGTCTGCAATAACCTTTTTGGGTCAAAATGAACCTTATTCTGGATCTACAATGGCATGCCACTGGGACGTAAAGACCTGGGAATAGTGTGGGTTTGACCAGGAAAAAGACTTAGCAAATCTGGATTCTATGTCAATATTTGACCATGGTTTGACCCAGTAGTCTTCAGAAAAATCATTCTTCACTTCTGGAAACAATATGCAAACATCTCTTTGACTGTAATTTGTTAATGATCATTTTGCTGCTACTATGTGGCTGAAACGTTCAGGGATTGGCTTACAAAGCCAGAAGACACAATTAGTCTTTGAGCCTTAAGGCAATTTACCTCAATGCAAACACAATATCGCCTGCAATGTTACAAAGGTTGTCTTTGAACATCGGTTAATTGATAACGGGAAGTATTTCTGCCCCTTCAGACAGCAACTATACAAGATCAGCCCCTCGACCCAGCGCGATAAGCACTATGCATGACGCATTCTATCTGTTTGGGCCTTAATGTGTATAAGACTTGAACGCGCATCACCCTTCTTACCTCGGCTGGGAACCGCGATTTGTACCAATTTTAATCTTATAGAGTATCAAAATCTGCGGCATCTTTCTAATCTGGCTTGTGCTGAACGTGAAGTCAACGTGCCTACTATAATGTGAAAAGTGGACAGCATATTACTGCACCACATTTTCAGGATACTGTAAATTGTTCAGGTCCTTTCCAGTGACCTGTATCCATAGGAGATGGGAGCTTTACTCGGTATTCCACAGAGGTTCTGCCCTGGTGAAAACGAGACCAACTGGGCCGATGGGTCCTTAACATCAGGTAAGCCTTTCGTTTACATTCATCTGGATTGGACTCGGTGATCGACAGACAAGCCAAATTCTGTGGATAGATTCTAACCTTCCGTGGTTTAGTGCCCATCTTAGCTTGTGCCAGTGTCTTGTCAGAGAAATCACTGCCTTGGGCCTAAACAGTTCGAACACGGACCGAGGAAAGAATCAATTTGGTTAACGACAGTTTTTGAAACCTCAAAATTCGAAATTTAACATCTAGCCTAATTCGAAATCATATGCATCTTGAGTCTTCCATGTGAGAATTTTAGCGCATTATGAACTCAGACTTTGTTATTGCGATTAGTTTTGTTCACTTTCAGGTTACAGGTTATTGGATATAATAAGTACGCCCTGCTGTGTCATGGGCGGAAAGATTTGGGGGTCAGGAATGTTTCATTCGATTATAACCTGCAACACTTCATGTGTATTTACAAATGACATTGAATGAATCAAAGTCTGTGGTCACGTTTTTTCATATTTCAATTTGGTTGCTTTACAATCGTTTATGTTTAATAGTTCATGGAATCAGAACCAGTTGCAGCAAATTGTATTTTCTTCCTTTTCCTGTCAGTCTTGCGGACATTTGTGGGACTGTCATCCCACTGCACCATGAACAGACACGGCAAAATCTTTGTAGGCATTTGACATTGTTATATTCATGTACAGTGTGATTTGTGCTGTTTTATTCGCATCTTTTACCATGTTACATTTTGTAATTTTCTTCATATTAATGCTATAAAACGCATTGTGAAAATCTTTCTGGTGAAAGCTCAGCTGTTAAAGTTTACGCCACAGGAATGCATGCTAAAATACTCAGATAATGTTAGAAGTGAAATCATTCTGTTCTTTTATCAACAGAGCTGGCTAAATATCCGCTCTTCACTTTGTTATTTTCTTATGCGTCGATGGCGAGTTTCACAGTCATCGTAATATTCTTAGAAGCTGCGTTCTTTACGGCAACGCGGGTCCCACGTTCGTCCGTGGCCAATCATCGCCTCAACACCGTTATCATGATGTCTGCTTTTCCGGTGAGTCTGGACATGTTTTGAGATACCATCACAGCGTGTCGTGTGGAGAAGACCAGTGGCAGTTACAGGGACAGGTTGTTTCAGGTTACACAGACAAAACAGTTTCAGAAAGCTCATTGGCGAACCAGTCAATCGATGTCTCGTTTTCACGTCAGACTGAGAGATCAGTACGTAACGTTGGCAGGACTTCAGGCTAGGGCTAACTGGTTTAAAGTCAAAATTGCAAGCTTTGTCAAAAACAAAAAAAGAAATTTTATAAAAAATAAAATCTCAAGCTTCGGTAGAGGGTTGGGTTTGACTAAAAGAGGAAAGCCCGGTGTGTACTTCTGAACTAGTGCGTTTTAAAGCTGTTGTGGAGCCTGGCGTGGGTCACTGGCTGAACCGAAGGTGAGACTGAATATCAGTGCCATTCATGAACCCCTTATAAACAAGTCTGAAAATGCTAACAAGCATTTCAGAAAACCCAATTATATGACGGATTCTGATTCAGTGCCTCCTGAGTTATAAAAGGAATTGATTTAGGGGCAAAAAAATTCATATCTGCTTCTTCGATATTGTCATGTGCAAAACTAATGTACATGCCTCTGTGCTGTTAAGCTTCCATTTTAAAGTGGTCATTTGACGCACTTTGAACTAGTCAGAAAAGTTTAAATTGTCTAGTTGTGGCATGCATGTGCCCTCCAGTTTAGGTCACCGAACGGTGGAGGCCAGTACGGCCCATACAGCTGACAAAAGGGTCACGATTGATGATCTTGTACAAAAGAAATGAGCTTGAGGATCAGTAAGGGTCCATGACAGCAGGTATTTATTGGAAAAGAAATGGAAATGTGACATTAAAGATCGCGTTTTCTTTAATCCAAGTTTTACCCAACTAATATGCAATAATCTTTCGCTTAAAAGTAAAAAAAAACCTATAGCACGAACACGGAATACCTTAGAGACCCCAATCACACAACCATTTTGTTCTGATTGTTTGTAATTGCATTGAATAAAGTTGATTTGTCTCACAAATTCTAACGTTTTTATGCTATTAAGTTATCGATTGCTTTATGGTACTTTCGTTTCACATTACAGGATAATGCTCCCTCCTCACCCTAAGGTGCCCCCCACCTCATCCCTATTTTAAATTTTGAAGTGAGCACAGCAACTTTAATTTTTTTTATTTCCCCCCATTTCATATTCTTCAGGCTTTGGTACTGCTCTGTCTACCAGCAGTCCTGATTCCGAGTGCTGCTGCATTTTGTCTGGCACTGCAAGACTTGTGAGTAATATGATTTTGTTAAATAATGTTACTATAAACTGTTAAGACCAGGATAGTGAGTTTATACAAGTTGATTTCGAAATGTTCAGAATAGCTACGTCACATTTTTGAAAATTTAAATTTCGGCCAACAGGATCTACCTTTGGCCTTGGAAAAAGTTGCTGAGTACGAGCATCGTTCGTGAAAAGTTTAAGATGTATACATGTGAGGATGACGTGCATTTAGAGAGCACATACCCATCATTACTGATGTCCAAGGCCCAACATCATTATTTATTATTGCCCCCGCTTGCATGGTCCATGAACATTACTGAAACTATCTCAGCTTCAAGTGGGAAGAATGCAGCTCAATGCTTCCCATTAAGGCATTAACGACTATAATCAAAGACAGCATCCGTCTCTGCCCTGCTCAGGTATACCCATTTTATTCCAAATGGGGAGAAGCAATTAATAACAAGGGAATTTGCCCAAAACTAAACTATCTGGTATATATTAAAATCACGTCAATAGATGCTCTTGGTCTCCACTTATAGGGGGCTGTCCTGAAACGGAAACCAGAGTTTATGAGTAATTCTTAAGGAACCAATAAACAATTTTTTTCGGAAGTGTATTCTTATTTGAAAGGCACATTCTTTGTTCATATTGTTTGGCGTGCATGGCTTGTAAAAAACAATCGTGACAACAAACAACATGTCTGTAAATCTAGAAAGTTAAGGTTTGCGAAACACATTCTATCACTGCCAATTGTTTTTGCTCTCTCCTAAGATACTACTCCTTCGTCATGTTCAAGTTCATCGTGCTCCAAGTGGATTACTACGGGGGGCATCGGAAAATGATGGCGCGGCTGGCTGCCGAGAAAGTCATGTTCAACATCAATGTGCCGTTACTTTGTTGCTTCTTTTGCCTCAAACCGGTCCGTCTGACAAGGTCTGTTTCTAACAAGATTTGTCATTTTGCCACACCAATTAATACAGCGATTGGCAAAACCATTGGGTAGCAACATTGCCCTGCGGCCTCTGCCTCTCCAAAAGAACCTCTGGATTTTAAGTATATGAGAAATGTCTTTCTCATAAAAGCTACCCAAATTTTCTCTTTACCCTTAGAAAGGTCACGAGGCCACACTAAAAACACTCAAATTTTTGCCCTGCCCCGCAACCGAAATTTGACTCCCTTAGAACATAATTACGATGCAGTATCCAGAAAAGATACTGGATTGGTTTTCAAAAGCGGATGTCGATGCCGATGCACTGCCAAATATGCAGTCGATTTAACAACTCTTGGAATAACGACCAGAAAAGAACAAGCAGTCACACTTCCAAACAGCGGCGGAAATTGCTGCAATGCTGGGGCGATTGGGAGGCATCTGGTTGGCGATGGGACATCCCCTACGGGATGACTGCCCCTCCCCCATAGTTCGCCACTACTACACAAAGACTAGAGGGCATTTCTCGGCAATTTTACTTGTACATCCTCTGTACTCTTTCTTGCCCTCAACATTTGAAATTCATTAACTTGATCGTTCCAAATATATTGCCCCCACCTGCCCCTCCCCATGTTTAAGAGTCTTGTGCCACCACTGCAACCACCGTGGTGTCCCCGTCACTCATCAGGCGCACATTCCTTAGCTTCGGAGCGCGTGATTTTGGTTAGTAGTGCGCTGACATTGGCTGACGAGGGAGCATTCAATGTGCATTTATGTTTCTTTTGTTAACGCACGTGGGGACACCTCCGTAATGGCTCCTGATTCTTGTCAATGGATTGGTCTATGTGCGAAAGAATTTTTATATGCTTTCCCGGAGTTTTTTTGTGTGTGTTTTTTTTTTCGATCTATCGACGGGACTGATATCATGTTTTCTTGTGAATCTTCCGTGAAATCGCCTCTTTATATCTAATTTTTACCTCGCTCTGTCTGCACAATCTTTTAGGAAAAGTTTCACGATGATCAAGATTCTGGTGCTCCAAACTTCCATCATTAAACCAATCCTAACTTTTTTCAAAGCAATCGCTGGTTTCGCGAAGGTGGTGAGTACTCTTTTAACCGTCTTCTGTGATACCAACATTTGAAAACAACCTTTAGAATGCCAACAAAAGGAATACAAGATTACTTTAACTCAAACGTGTATTTCAAAGGTTTGGGTCGAACATTGCATCGATAGACCTTTATATATTGTATCTTGTTAATTTGCTTTCAAAGGAGATGCTGAGCCCTGTTGTAATACTGGAAAATTTGTAAATAAAAGAACCATGCGTATACTTTGACCCTAGTTTAGTGTATCAATGAGGAAAGGTCTGGTTGTGTATCATGCCTTCATTTTAACGAATGATAGACAAAAAAGAACAAAGATGGTTCGTTTTAGGGAGGATTTTTACCTCGCTCTGTCTGCACAATCTTTTAGGAAAAGTTTCACGATGATCAAGATTCTGGTGCTCCAAACATCATTAAACCAATCCTTACCTTTTTCAAAGCAATCGCTGGTTTCGCGAAGGTGGTGAGTACTCTTTTAACCGTCTTCTGTGATACCAACATTTGAAAACAAAAATTAATCCCAAGAGAGAGTGTATGGTCGTTGCGACCGCACTGAATTCAAACGTCATGTGTGCAGCAGGTAGACCACAATCAAAAACTCCTGTCCAGTCTAGGTTGTCATAGGATCGCCTCAGTCTTCTTTTCTCCCCTTGGCAACAGAACCTGCTCGGCGTGCCGGATTTGATCCTGCAAGCCTTGACTGTTGTGTCCACAATGACGGCAGTGACGGGAATGAACATGCTCACCAAGGCATCGAGTAGCAAGGATCTGGAGAAATATGACCTGCCTGCCAAGAGCCAGTTCATGACTGCCGGCCTGTTGATGAACGGACTTCAGCCAACTCTCATCTCCCTGGGGACAGTCTTTAGACCCCTGGGTTGCTTCATCCCTTTCCCTTCGCTTTTGCTGGCCTCGCGTAAGTTCGAATAAGGGTGCAGGCGATGAAGTTTTCTCAGGAGCACTTTTTGCAAGTTGTAGCTTTTAAACTCTTACCTCGCGCTCGATGTATGAAACCACTTCGTGTTCTTGTATTGAAAAATGTTTGTAAAGCATCAAAGATTGTCTGGGCCTTTCTGGAGAGCACAGGGCGCTGTTGCCGTCATGTTAATTTAATCAAGTTTGACACATTATGTTCTATTTAGGTTTGTCTGTTGCTCACTCATTACACTTCTAAAAGAGGGTTGCTTGTTGGCTCATTGCCATGTGCTTAACAAAGAAAAGGAAGAATAGCACAATATTAAACAAATTCCAGCAGTCTGTGTGTGTGCTCATCAAAGCAATAGTGACACCACATTTACCTTTAGAATGCCAACAAAAGGAATACAAGATTACTTGAACTCAAAGGTGTATTTCAAAGGTTTTGGTCGAACATTGCATCGATAGACCTTTATATATTTTATCTTGTTAATTTGCTTTCAAAGGAGATGCTGAGCCCTGTTGTAATACTGAAAAATTTGTAAATAAAAGAACCACGCGTATACTTTGACCCTAGTTTAGTGTATCAATGAGGAAAGGTCTGGTTGTGTATCATGCCTTCATTTTAACGAATGATAGACAAAAAAGAACAAAGATGGTTCGTTTTAGGGAGGAAACCCGCACGATCAGAAAACTTAATCTTTATGGCAGAGAAAAACGGGCGTTTCACAATTGTGCGCCTCCAAGAGTTGAAACTTGTCGACCCGATGTTCGTTTGGAAAGGGTTGACAGATTTCGCATGTTGTGATTGGCCAACACGTTGTAAACTCTGGGAATGCAGGCAATGCAACATTGCGTAAAAACAATTTACAGAACATGATTCGTTTCCTTTTCAGCAGTGTCCATGGATGAAATTGTTCCGATTATTTTTATTTCGAATCTATTGATTTGTTTATTTCTTATTTTTCCTTCATTCAGAGTGGCAGGCGTTCCTCGTGATTCTGGAGTCTACATTGATAATGATCCCTGTCCTGAGATACTACAGGACGGCTGACAGCAACGTGGTGGGCGTACCCCCGCGCATCGAGGAGGAAGAAGAGGAGCCGGCAACGCAACTGGGAAAGATGCGACAATGGATCAGACGACACACACTGATGTAAAGCAAGAACAGGTGAACGCAAATCGCTCGTTACATTGAGTTAAAGAGTCCAGGCAGTGATATGCTCTCATTTTTGGAAACTTGTAGTCTTCTTCAGTGTGTGAAAACTTGTTGACGTCCTGCACTGTTTTACGCATTTACGTTTGCCAATGCCTTTCTGCACAATAGAGGGCGTTTTTCCGTGATGTCAATCAGAAAAGACACTGTTCAGTTTGTAGATTTTCTGTTTATATTGGAAACCCAAATCTGCTCACTCAATATGTCACTGAGAAAGGGTTGCTGGTTGCTATGAATTTCAAGCAACAGTGAATCACCAAGGAAAAGGATGTTTTAAGCTGCAAAATATTAACATGTCAGTGTTTTCGAGCACAGATTAGAGCAACACTGAGGTTTTCTCCCTGGAGAGCCAAAAGAGTACCTAAATATCTTGTTTAAAAAGGCAAATCAGAATTGGCAAAAAGGATGCAGATTTGTAAGGATTGTGGTAAAAGTGCATTGCATAGACCCTTTAAATGTGACCAATTATTCAAAGACCAGGCTGAAGACTTTCAAACATAAAGAAATCGTACTAGATTTAATTCAAATTTAAGCTCACAAAAAGGCTTATTAGTCAATTCATTTAACTGGATTGTTTTTATTAAACTGATTAATCGTTCAGGTGTTTTCACCATCTTGAAGGTCAACTATAGATTTTGCAACTCCTGATCAACCATCGCTCAATCATTGTTCAGCATACATGATAATTGCTGTGGTTGTGGAATTCATTAATTTTTTACCGAAATTTTGCATTTTAAATTAATCAATACAATTTAGGCTAACCTGCATGATGGGTGGCTCAGTACGTGTTGCTCAATACAAAGGGAGGACACTATCTGTACGTGGACTGTGTCTGTTCGTCTTCTCTCGGTAAAAAGTTTGGCAAGCAAGCTCAGCATTTCAGACATTTACTGAAATAGTTCTATAGTCTTTACCCTCCATGCACTGGCGTATCCAAGGGAGGGGCAATGGGGCCATCCCCTCCCCCGAGTAAAAAATGAAACATAATGAGAAGGGCGGTTTCGGTGGTTTATTTATTTCCTTTCCTAACGCAAACGTGTAAAAACACACCTGTCCTCACCATTCAGAGGGGTCATGAAGGATACACGCCCGAAGAAACCAGTTTCCCCTCCCCTCCCCAAAACACGGTTCCGAATCCGCCCTTGCCACTGCCACGATACAGCTTGATATTATACTTCCGATAGTGTTTCGAACCGATTATTCGAATACACATGTTTGTCGTACATCTCAGCAAAGTCACACACAAAACAGACAAAATTCAGAAATGGTTAAAAAGAAAAGTGATACGCAATTCTGATGCTTCGATCTAGCAACATTCCAAACGTATCTGCTCATCGTAAGTGTTTGGTTAGGAATTGATTTGTTTATAATCAATCAACATGCATTACAGAATTATCGATTCTTTTATATGGTTATCTATACCTGCTAGCGCTTTATACTAATGTAAACATTGTTGTTTGTAAATAATCGACACAACACCATATAATAACATTCATCCGCTTATTTTGTACATATGCAATTTGATGGAACTGGTTTCCTCGTTTATTTTGTTCTACATTGCAAGCATCAGTCAGCTGATAACCCTATACACTTCTATATACACAGTATAATGCTTTCCTCTCGACTACACTCTCAATTCCTCAAGCTGTAAATAGAAATATAGTATGTGTCATAGGAAGTGTTAATTTATCAGAGCGAAATGTAATGGAACTGATTTCGAGTCGCAGATCAGCATCGAAAGGATGTATTCTGATAATACGGTAGCGTATTTAAGGAAGGAGGAGAAAGAGCGGAAAAAATAAAGGAAAGGGCCCGGTTGCTTTTCTATTTGAAACTGACTGTAGAAAATGCCCAGTACAGATATGCTGATATTTACATTGCTGATATTCCTAAAGTATTACATAATTAACTCAGTATCTATAATTTATGTAGGTGTTAGAATTTTTGGAAATTCTCTGTCTACAGTTTATGTAATGTGTTGGAATTTCTAGCAAGGGGGTCCTCAACCTCCTTAGAGACTGACCCGTTCGTGTCCAACAGTTCGATGGGAAAAAATACCAGAATGTGGCAAAGAAGCCAATGGCAGTTATTGGCAGTAAAAAATGTCATTACGCAGGGATCAACAAAGATTCCAGTCACTCGTGAAGCTGACATCTTGTGATCTTATGCACTTTGAAACTGTGAGAGCCATATGCATGCCAGTAGTTATAATGATGGATATTAACCCAATTTGAAACATATGAAGCAAGATATGGGACAGAGAACACCCCCCGCACCTTTATGTTGGTCATTGTTTGATCGGAATCTCGGGATTTCTTTACTGACATGGGAGGGGGTGTTAGGTAACAAAAGTCTAGAGTGTGTGCAGGGATTGGACATGTAGGGGGGTACCCCTCCGTCCCATACCTTGCTGGGTATAATTTGAAATGGCTGTCTGAAAAAAGGAGCCATGCGTGATGTTTACTCTTACATTGTTACATGACATTTATGTAAATAAATAGTCGAATTTATGTGCTAATCGATTTCTTTGTAAATGTTTTATTGAGCGTTATAGAGATATGTCACTGACTAATAAAGAGCTGACAGAATACTTTACATTCTGTTTTCGTCAAGGATTCTGTGAGAATCGAAAGGTCAGGCCTTCATGGCGTTTTTAGAAATCTTGTGAACAAAGTCAATCCCGTTAATTTTGATCGTATCACTATCCCGTGACTGTGCTTACATGAACTTTCAAACCATGACGAATATTAAAGTCAAGAAAGGCCTAAATAATTGTTGCGAATAATGTAGTGGATAAATAAACCAGTGGATAAATTTTCCAGCGCGACACAGCGGCGTAGCAATGATTCCGAGTACGGGGGAAGGGGTTAGCGGGGGATTCACGCTAATTTGTGTGGGCCTGATCAATAATGGTGTCCCCAGGACTAGGAACGGGGGTTCCAAAATGCTTCAGTTTCCAAAATGCAAATGAGGGGCGACAATTTTCATGAAGGGGGCACCCCCATTTCTTAGCCACGCCGTTGGCGCGACATGGTCGGCAAATCAAGGAACTTCGGTATGAAAACTGGTTGATCTTTGCCTAAGAACTTAATTGGCAAAGGATTCGTGCAACTCAACTCCAAACTGAGACCGATTAGGACACGCATGGGTTGCGCATCTTTGACCTAATGATAATTTGTCAAACTGATTTGTGCAGAAATTACAAACGTTGCTCTCGTGGAGTTATTATATTGCTACAGTCAGATAAATTATGTGTATCTTCCACATTGCAGTTGAGTCCCGCTCCTGCAAATATAAATTGGAAGATAAGGAAGTGCGACCTTACCTGGGAACGAAGTTCAAGGCTCTCATTAACCCGCAATTTTTCATCGAGTAGAGGCACCAAAAATGGCTAGTTGGCAAGCAAAAGAAATGTAAAGATTTTCCGTAGGGATTTGTTTAGATGTGCTGGGAAAAAATCTCCATGTTTCTGAAGTGGACTCTGGTAAAACGATTTCCGTTTGAGGGGGTAAAATGTGTCTCACCTTCTAACTATCGAACTATAATGGTTTGAAATGGGAACTATTTTAGGTATCGACAGTGGTGAAGACTGTACTAAGAATGGAACCATCGACTTCACAAAGGGATCCCTCACTGGTGGTAAGAATGTCTCCTCTTCTGGTATATTCCCATTTTTCGATTTTCAGTCTTACATAGAATCACAGAAAGTAGGATCGATTCTCACAAGGTGCCTTTGCCGTTTGGGAGGCGTTTCACGACATACTAAAGGGAAAAGTTTTAGAAACCGGTTCAGAATTATCTTGGAACAAGCATCAATGTTTCCACTCTCTTTGGATATTGAAAATACCATGCTACTCTCCCCGAAATTAATTCACCGTTTTCGTAATTCACAAAAGACAAATGTAATATTTGCTATAGTTAAGTTCCCAAATAGGGAACAGTTGCTAATCAGTTTGAAGAACTGGGAAGTAGAAAATAAAGTTGGTAAAAGTAAGGGCCAATCCACGGGGCCGACGAGGGAATCCCCCCCCCCAAAAAAAATCCAAAATATTTTTACAACTTAAACAGGAGAGAGAAAGGCGAGTTATTGCTATATTTCATTTTTCTTCCCTGTCAAAGCATGTAAAAACCCTAGCACATAATCTGTGCTTGGCAGCGCCATCAATATGCATCAGTTGACAGTTGCATTCTGCTTTTTTACGACAGAGTTTGGTGGATATCCTGTCTTCACCTTGCTGTTTTCCTACGCGGCCGTGGCAAGTTTCACGGTCATTGTGATATTCTTAGAAGCTGCGTTCTTCACGGCAACGCGGGTCCCCCGTTCGTCCGTGGCCAACCATCGGCTCAACACTGTCGTTATGATGTCCGCCTTTCCCGTAAGTCATGTCGCTCTCAAGATACCGGTTGTTGACGACTTCCTGTTTTGTGCTTGGTCGTTGGTGTCAACGCTGCGTGCTTTGGTTTTCTGTTTGCATGTAATGCCTTTAACAGCCCCTTCTACCCCTGTTACATGTACAATGTCCACATAATTGCAACACACTCTAAACGAATGATTATCAAACACATCCCCAGTGTCTCAAGAGTTCCTGAGATTCCCGGGAACGGAGTGAAAACTCCCTGGACATTTTTGACATTATAATTACAAGCAATGGCACTTCAGATAGGGTGCCAAGCCATCTTTCTTTGGGGGAGGCCGGAAGGGGAATGGTGTAGTATAAGGATTCTTTTACGCACCAAAAAGTGTAAAAATGTTTGTAGAAAACGACCGCCATTTTGCCCCCGGCGTGAATGGCAACAGATATGCAAACTTCATGACAACTCTGTCTCGTGCTTGTCGTTTTTAACCCGTATTTGCATGGGCGTAAACCCCAAGGAGGGGATTGAGGTGCGTATTTCCTCTAACTTTTGGGGAGGTAGGCTTGTGAATCACCCCCCCCCCTTCTCGTGGGAGAAAAAACAAAGGCGGATTGTGAAGAATATTTCGAACTTCCCAACAACCAATGTGTATTCAAAAGTACTGAAAAAGGGAGTTCTATCTAAAACCCAGTAAATATGCCTTTCTCATGTAAGATTCTGCAGGATTGTAATACAGACGTACATTGTACATCTGTATCATGAACGTTGGCCTTAAGAATCGTCGTGTCCGGCAAAAGGTCTTGAGCGCTTACAATTGTAGTTTTTCCACGGTCAATCTCTGTTCATTTTTTATCCTGATATCACTTTTGTTTCTTATTACCTTCATTTCTTTGTTGCCATTGTTGTTGTTGTTTTTGTCGTTTTGCCTAATCTCTTCATTTTACTGATTCTACATGTATTTTTCTATTTTAACTCCTGGTAGGTGTTTGTAATCTGTTGCTTCCCAGCTCTTTCAATTCCAAGTTCTACAGCATTCTGTCTGGCACTGGTAGATCTGTAAGTTATGATGGAGACCAAAATTATAATTGTCGTTTCGTAATAATGGAGTTTCGAGGGGATCAGTTCAATGTAACTATCCCTCTGTCCATTTTAATTTTTCATTGTGAACCATGTGATGGTGCACGGGGATCCTCCCAGGTATTAAACATAGCTTGCATACATATATAGATTTTTGAAAAGCGAACTTTAGCCAAGACACCAACTGCCAAGATCTTAAATTTCTAAACTTTGATGAAACTGTCCTCGAACACCCGATAATAGCATAACGTTTTAAACTGGCCCTTTTCCTACAGGCACAGTTTACATTGTTATGAGCAGGTGGAGCAGACACACTCAAAACAAGCAAACAAACCAACAGACAGACACTAAACCAAAACCCTCAAACTTTTGGTTGCGTGGCATTATTAGTTGTTTGGGAGATTGTGTACTTTTTATCTCGTGTTCTTGGCCCAGAGCGCGACTCAAGTGGATATTAACCTTGTTTGAGCTACGGTACCTAATGCTATTTATGTTTTAATGATTTTTTTCTATTGAAACGAGGATCAAACTTCAAATAACGTAACTGATTACAACGCACTTTACTGCTGACGGAGTTTGACGCACATAAAGCCTGTCTAAATGAAGGCATAAAAATACTGTGCTGGAATAGCTCCACTTCATCGAAATTGACATTAACTGGGTACAAAACTTAAGCAATCCAAAAGTGCGGATCGAAATTATTTTGTTGTGAAACAGTTGATGAATTTCATGCCTGGATTTTTAGTTCGATTTTGTCCCCATCATCTTACTAACAAAATTAGAAAGAGAAAGGCAAATATACAATGGATTAATTTTAAAGTTTCACGAAATTATCTCCTCGATTGTGAAAGATTAATCATGGAGGTTTGTTGAGTTTATTTGGTAAGATTCCACAAAATTAGGGTGTTTTCTTATCCCTCCATTATTTCTCATAGGATTAAACTACAGCTCTCTAGAATACAGGATGAGTTCGTTGAAGTCACTGATTGGCTTACTCTAATAAAAATGGGTTGTTTCTCAAAAAGTGAATATTTTGCCAACGTTGGTCAAAAATAAAAATATAACAACTGCGTGAATAATAATAGTCCTGTCCAACATCAATTAGCCAGATATTGTGACTCAACCTAACGACATGAGTCGCAGGTCACAAAAGCCACGTGCCTGTTGAAAACATTTAAAACATTCTTGCACATTGTAAATCGATTACATGTAAAAGCATCCACAGGTTGACATTTTTCACCGCACTATGTAATTTTTTCGGAGGATGCCCAACTGAGGGATGCGTCAAAACAAACAGCTTGGTTGCTCTTCCTGCAATATGAAGTTGAACAACGTCACTGGAGGAAATTAAGTAAGATTCTCTTTGTGGGATCCTGTCATATTTTGGGTGTTGCTTTCTACCAAGATACTACGCCTTCGTCATGTTCAAGTTCATAGTGCTCCAAGTGGATTACTACGGGGGGCATCGGAAAATGATGGCGCGGCTGGCTGCCGAGAAAGTCATGTTCAACATCAACGTGCCGTTACTTTGTTGCTTTTTTTGCTTCAAACCGGTTCGTCTCACACGGTCAGTATAATCTAGATCCAACAATCGCTTTGCTACCGTGTGCTTTGACTGAGGTTACAATGTATGGGAAAATCAGGTTGGGTTCGCAATATGTCACATACCCAGAATTACAGGGAAACATTACATAAAGATCTATATAGCTTGTTATAAGCAATTCTTTCACTCGTCCTTCTACTTTCATCTTTTGACTTCATATTATACAATATAAATGCATTTATGCATTGTCAAGAGGAGTACGGCATTAACAACCCGTTTTGTCCATCCTAATTGTGTGTGCTTTAACTAAGAAAACCAAAACTAGAAGTGGTGGGAAAACATTTGAGAACACAGAATAATGTTCGAAATAAACTGTGCTTTAATTGGTTAGTCGGATTCCTACCAACTGTAACCAGAAATTACTAAATCTACAAGGCACCGCGCAGCTGAACTTTACACGGTGGCGTATCTAGGTTTTAAGTCGGGAGACGAGGGATTTCTCACTGAAATGATTCTCCAAACTTGTGCTT